GCTTAACCAACTGAGCCACCCAGGCGCCCCAGAAACTTGGCATTTCTAATGCAGTGTTCCCAGGTGACACTGATGCTGCTTTATCTAGGGGTCACATTTTGAGAACCACTGGCTTTTTTTTTTCTTTTTGATTTTTTATTTAAATTCTAGTTAGTTAACATACAATGCAATATTGGTTTCAGGAGTAGAATTTAGTGATTCATCACTTACATACACACCCAGTGCTCATCATAACAAGTGCCCTCCTTAATACCCATCACCCATCTCGCCCATCCCCTCCCCTCCACCAACCCTCAGTTGAGAACCACTGGCTTAGATCAAGACACTCTGCTGATCAAAAAGGCACTGCTGACTGACTTGTCCTAAAGCCCCTGCTGGTTCCTGCCCCCTGGATAACTCCCTGCTCCCCCCATTAGCTCCTTGCAATTCAATCCTCCCCCTGACCTCCTAGCCCCTGCAGCTAGTCCTAAATCAGCTGTTCTAGGGTCTAAAAATACCTTCCCTACCCCAAGACAGCTGAGGGGTTGAGGTTATTTTCTGAGGGTAAGAATAGCTGGCACTTCAGAGGTAATTTCAATAAGAGGGCCAAGAGCCAATACAGGGATACTTTGCTTGGCTCCTCTACCTTCAGTTTTAGCTCTGAATGTTTTAAGAGTCTAATTCATGAAAGGGCAATGATTAGGTATGCGCCTGTCTGGGGTGGTAAGCAACTTACCTTTTTTGGTATTGTTCTAGAGTGGATACTGGTTAAAATTACCCCAGGAAGCTTTGGCCTGGTTCCAGACACATAGAAAATAGACTTCATGAGCCAGCCTGAGCTGACGCCTTTAGCAGCCGTCCCTTCTCCCTAGGGTTGTTCATCTCTGAGGCCCCCATGGCCCGCTCTTGGGGCTTTAGGACATGGACTTCAAGCCTGGTTGTGGGTTGAGGGCGTGGGAAGAACTGAGCTGCAGGAGGGTTGCTCTAGTCCTGGGAGAGCCTGAGTTCCCTGGGGCATAGGGATTGGGCGGGGAAAGTCCTCATCCGGGTGGGACAGAGAGCCTCAGTAAATGCCAGTTAGTTTTATATGGATGCTGCCTTTTCCTCTGTCTGGGTTTCAGTATTCTCGTCTGTGAAATGAGCAGGTGGGATTTAGGATCTTTGGGGTCTTTTCCAGTGTTGCCATTCTGCAGCTTAGGAGCGTGGCCTCGTAAGCCTGGGCTGGCAGCTGGTCCTTCCCAGTCCCCTGGTTTAAAGGCAGGGAAATTGCTCAGGACCTTTGGAGGTCCAGGGAGAGTGCAGGGTCTGCACCGTGCCCAGGAACCTCGTTTGGTTTGAGTTGATGTGTGTTTCCCGTTTTGCACTGTCTGGTGTGAAACCCCCACTCCATGAAAATAGGGGCCTTATCTGCCTCCTTCAGCGCTGCATCTCCGGCACCTAGCACGATGTCCAGTGCAAAATGGGATGAAGGGCTTGGTGAATGAATGCATGCATGCACACACGTATGGAGGCCTCTAGGGGGGGCTCAAGATCTGCCCCAGCTCCTGTTGCTCCTTCAGAGGTGGATCAGGAGCAAGGCATTCCTCTCGCCCCTGCCATTCCTTAGTCATCCCCAACTCTACCCTCCACAACCTCCCCTACTTCCAAGTGTTGAAGTTTCACTTAAGTCACCTGCTCTGGGAGTGGAATCCCTGGGAAGAGTTCTAAATGTCCACCACACTGCTCCAGGACTACTGCGGATGAATATGGCCTCCTTCCTTCTTTGTTTGGCAGATTATAGGGCTCTCTCTGTTGCTGCAAATGCTCTCTCTTCTCCCAGAAGGCTGTGGGCCCTTGGGGGCTCCTGTCCTGGGCTGAGAAGGCTCGGCTGGGCCCTGGGGCCAAGGTTTCCTGCTGGTCCCCATGCTCCTTTCTGCTATCTTCAGGAATCTCTGGATTTTTCCTTGCAGGCAGAGAGGTGGTGAGATCCCGCTCCCGGGTCGGGGCTTGAGGAAGCAGGCCAGCAGGAAGTGTGGGCATTGTGTCTGGCGTTGGTTCTGAGCTGTTCAGGCCTGTCTACCCAGATAAAGGAAGTTCCCGAAGAACGAGCCCGCTTCACTGCAGTCAGGCTGGGGCATGGAGCCAAAGCCCCAGCTGAGGACTGGGGATCAGGTGTAACTGTCCTGGTTTGCCTCTTCTGTGCACAATGCAAGGGAGGGATGGTTATCAGGGACAAGTTTGAGATTGGCCTTGGCCCTCTGGCCCAATTCCAATGCTCATCAAAGACACCATGACAGCCCATGGCATCTTCATTTCAAACATAGACCATGAAAGGATGTCATTACATATTGATTCCACTGGCCTTGAGAAGAGGGCGGGGACACAGCCCCGTCCTGTGTGTGGTTGACATCGTGCGTCTAACACCCTTTCCACTTTTCCAAATTTGTAATTTGGGTGAGACCGCCTCTGCTTCAGGGGGAGGGACTTGGCTCTTCTAAGCCAATCAGCTTCATTTCATCCCCTGTGTCCTGATGACTGGTCTGGCAGCGGAGACATAAGCCAGTCAGCACGCACGGCGTTCGCTTGGTCACTGCGCATTGGTTCAGCGGGGGCCCAACTGGCCCAGAACCAGCTTTGGTTCACAGGCGGGAGAGATCTCTTGGCAGCCATCCTTGACCAGGAGAGAAGAAATGGGTCTGGCACGACACAGGGCTGATGCTTGCTCTGTGCCTGGACTCTCATAACCGGTAAGACCTTTTAATTGCTTAGGCCAGTTTAAGGTTGGTTTTCTACTACTTCAGCCAGAAGCGTTCTTACCGATGTGCCGGCCTCGTAGTTCCTATAATAACCGACAAGACGCGCTATCTTCTTCACTACCACCTCTATCACCCCAGCACAGCAAAAACGCCTCCGCCTACTTGCAGGGTATTTTGTCCCATGCTGAATTCAATTTTTTTTTTTTAAGATTTTATTTATTTATTTTAAAGAGAGAGTGAGCGTGCATGCGCCAGCACGAGCAAGGGGAGGGGCAGCGGGGGAAGGAGAGGGAGGAGGAAAGAATCTCAAGCTGACTGCACTGAGCAGAGTCGGAGGCAGGGCTTGATCCCATGACCCTGAGATCATGACCTGAGCTGAAACCAAGAGTCAGAGGCTTAACCGACTGAGCCACCCAGGCCCTCCTGAATTTAGTTATTTTTAGGGAGACGCTCCAGATTTAAGCCCTCTGAACTCACCAAGAGACCTTGGGCGAGTTATTTCCTCAAGCTGGGCCGTTGTCGCCATCTCCACAGAAAGAGGGAAGTTCGCTGGATGACCTTGGGAGCCATTCCTGTTAGGAAAGCACAGTATCAATACTGTTTGGCAATGCTATGTCCTCGTGGTTTCTGGGCCCTCCCCCAGACCTAGATTCAGCAGCTCTGGGTGGGAATTGGGCATCAGTCTCAGCTTAACCTCAGAACTCCATCCCGACACCTTTTCATCCTTTCTTCTACTGGGGTGAAATGTTTTTGGGTAAGGTAGGGCTGCTCTCCACCATCTGGGCACTTGTATTCTTGCAAGAAAGATCCACCCTATTACTCTTCAACCCTTGCATAATGGATAGAATGGTCGACTCTTCCAGGTGCCAAGGAAAAGCTTTCCTCTTCTTATGGCCTGGTGTATTTCCCTTTTTCCACTGGTTGCTAGGAAGCTCAGAAGTACACTAGAAGCTTCACTGAGGTAACCATTTCAGTAACCATCTCTTGCTTGGGTCCCACCATAGCCATCTCTCCCAATATGCAGTGTTGTTGAGAGGCTTGGGTGGTGTCTAGGTACCTAGTTCTTAACTAGTTCAGGTATCTAGCAAGTGCACAGGAAATAGGAGCTATTATCATGTCTTATGTTTTCTGATCTTCTCTTCTACTTTATTTGTAACCATCTGGTACATGTCTTTATTTTTATTAAAGATTTATTTATTTATTTGAGGGGGGGCGAGAGAGAGAAAGAGAGAGAGAGAGAATAAGCAGGGGGAAGGGCAGAAGGAGAGAATCTTAAGCAGACTCTCCACTGAACGCAGAGCCCAGAGCCT